GTCGTCGGGGCCCGGGATGCGCTTGCTGTCGGCCAACGTGCGCAAGTTGCACGGGGCACTCAACCTGCTGCTGAGCGCGGCCGAGCGGGAGCAGTTCATCCACTGCCTCAACGTCTACCACGGCCGGCGCAACGTCTACGACCTGGTCCAGACCCTGCGCGTCCTGCTGGACCGGCCCGAGAAGCGCCAGCTCCTGCCCATGCTGCGCCTGGTCATCCCGCGCTCCGACCAGCTCCTCTTCGACCAGTACACCTCCGAGGGCCCCTACCTGAAGGGCGACTTCCTCGCCGCCGGGGCCAGCCCGGAGGGACCCTTCCCGCCCCCGGCCGCCGTCCTCGGGGCCCCCGGGGCGCCAGTCCTGTCGCCTTCGCCTCCTCCTCCTCCTCCTCCTGTCCCCCGATTCTGGCCAGCCTCTGCTCCTCCTCCTCTTCCTCCTCTTCCTCCTTTCCCCGCCGCCTCCGCCAGGCCTCCCGGGGATTTCAGCACCACCCTGGACGGGACAGCGCCCTGGAGCCGGGCGGGCTTGGAGGAAGGCGGCGCCTCTCGCCTTCGCCTCCTCCTCCTCCTGTCCCCCGCTTCTGGCCAGCCTCTGCTCCTCCTCCTCCTCTTCCTCCTCTTCCTCCTTTCCCCGCCGCCTCCGCCAGGCCTCCCGGGGATTTCAGCACCACCCTGGACGGGACAGCGCCCTGGAGCCGGGCGGGCTTGGAGGAAGGCGGGCAGGTGAGGCGCCTCACCCTCAAGAGGACCAAGGCCCAGGAAGGCTTGGGCTTCAGCATCCGCGGAGGGTCCGAGCACGGGGTGGGCATCTACGTCTCCCTGGTGGAGCCGGGCTCCCTGGCCGAGAAGGAGGGCCTGCGGGTCGGCGACCAGATCCTCAAAGTCAACGACCAGCCCTTGGACAAGGTGACCCACGCCGAAGCCGTCAAGGTAAGGAAAGGAGGAAGAGGTCCTCCAGATGAGGCGGAGGTCCTCCAGATGTTGCTGTGGCCCCATAAAGGAAGCCACCGCTTCCTTTCCTTGGCAAGACCTAAGCAGGGCTCTTGAGGACAGGAACTTCTAATGATCACTCCGGCATAGGCTCCCTGTAAGTCATAAATAACCGGGCAGCACAGGACAACAGGCGGTGCAAGGTCTAACTCCCATCATCCCCCACAGCTAGCTAGGAGTAATGGGGTGTTGCAAATCACCCATGTCTAAAGGATCACACGCCCCCAGCCCTGTTCTAGAATGATAACATTTTGGGGCATGTTTAGTCTCTGTGTACAAGCAATGAAGTGTAGTGGTTAGACACCAAGGATTAAATGGAGGGACCCTGACTTTGAACCACCATCCCTCTTTGGCCACCAGACGCGACTGTTTTGCAATACAGATGTTAAGCCAAACGGTCCTACTTTAACCCGGAGACCTCAAGTTGTGATTAGGACCATAGCTAGGTCTTTTAGCTTTTGTTTTGATAGGAAAATTGAGAAGTGAGTCTGGTGTACAGCCTTGCTGGGGAACCCATCTGTCGTTCATTCATTATAAAATTGTCTTGTTGTTTTTTCTCCCCCTTCGGCCCTTGAAACCATTATAAAATTGTCTTGTTTTTTCTCCCCCTTCGGCCCTTGAAAATGTGTAACGTACGTGATGTGGCCCTCGTACTGAAAAGTTTGGAGACCCCTGCTCTTGGCCACGGACTCGGAGGCCTTTCTTTTCTGACAGGTACCCCCGCTCCCGAGTAAGACTCAGAGACAAACGCAGGCAGGACTTTATCACGTTTTATTCATCTGTTAGTTGCTTTGATCTCCTACACTTTCTCCAGTGAGCCCCAAGTGGCATGCATGGTTTACCTCCTTTCCACTTGATCCCTGCAAGATCTCTGTGAGGCAGGACAGGCTGGGAGAAAGGGTGTGGCCTCAGGCCAGCCGGTGAGCTTAATGGCTCGACGAGGACTTGAATTCGGCTCTCTGAAGTCACAGTCTACCCACTGCATCCTACTGGAGGAATGGGTTTCCTTTCACCCAGGTACACCTTCGCAGGTGGCTTTGAGCTGCACCCCTTCGATCGCCATCGTTCAGAATTTGTTTTGAAGCTGTGCTTTCTTATCCTTAAAAATTTGGGGATTTTCCAAAGTGAGAAAAGACCAAACAATCCATGAGAAATCACAGGGTGGCTCCCAACCTGGCTTCCCCCAGATGTTCTTGGATTAAAACTCCCAGAACCTTTCGCCACTAAATTTTGTTGGTCAGGATTTCCGAGAGTTGCAATCCAAGAACATCGGGAGACTCAAAGTTGGGAATGACTGTTTTAGGGGGGAAATCAAGCAGCCCGAAACACATTCACAAAGCATAACATTGGGTGGATGCTGGAGATCCTCATTTGGAAGCATCCAGAATCCTTGTGGTACCTCCGAGAGTTTTCGTGATCAAGGGAGAAGCTGATGAGAGCCTGTCTTCATAGCTGTCATCCTGGGCTTCTTCGAGGATGGGATATAAATAGATTAAATCACCTTGTGATGGTAGGGTTTTTTTTTCCCTCTTAAGCCTTCCCAATTCAAAGGTCAGCAGGCAAGTCGCAAATAAGACCGATGAAGGGGTATAAAAATCATTTCAAAGGAACTTGAGCTAAAAATACCTCTGTTTTATAGCCTAGCTAAAAATACCAGGGCTACGACACATGCATTTTTTCATCACCCAGCTCAGATTCCGAGCAGGTCATTTCCACTCTGGTTGCTTGCTGAAACTCAGAAAAATGCCAAGATAACTTTTTTTTCAATACCACTACGTATTAAAATATAAAATAACTACCTAACTAAAAAGATGGATCCCACCCCAAAGAGATGTCCAGCGTGGATGAAGGAGAATGATTACAACGGTGAATTTCATTGATATTCTGCAGGATTGAGAATTAAGGTGTGTTAGAACAAGCTTTAATGATGATGATGATGATGATGGTGATGATGGTGATGATGATGATGATGATGATGAT